CATAATGACAGGGTGGTCCTTCGATTGGATCCGTCATTTATTCCTAAAGTGAATATCTTATTCCACAGGATGCAGGAGGTGATTCTACCAGACTTTTGTCCTCATCCATCTCATGACTTAGAACATCAGTGGCACACCTTGGACGTCTGCAGGGCATTACGCCATTACATTAAGCGAACTTCAGCCTTTCGCAAGTCAGAAGCCCTCTTTGTCTCCTTTCAACCCTCTTCCATGGGGCAGAAGGTTTCGGCCTCCACTATAGGCAGGTGGATCAAAGCTTGCATTGCAAGAGCATATCAGTCGCATTCCCTGTCCCAAGCCATATCACTGCCCACTCCACCCGCAGTGCTGTGACATCCGTGGTGTGGGTGACACAGGCATCCATTGGGGATATCTGTAGGACGGCGACTTGGTCCTCGCTTTCTCTGTTTGTGAGGCATTATAAGCTGGATAGGTTTGCCTCCGCAGACGCCTCATTTGGCCGGAGAGTGCTCCAGCAAGTAGTGCCACATAGTGGGACACAGGCCCAGACTGATTCCCTCCCATAGGGACAGGGCAGCTTTGGTGTGTCCCATTCATGGATTCTCCATCTTCATGCTGGAGAAGGGGCATTGTCTTACCTGAACGCCTTTTCTCAGCATGATGATGGGGAATCCACACCCACCCCTTAGTGTCCATCAGGTCCCGTGTCAGGTAGGAGAGCCAACACATCGGACTGTCATCAATAGCTTTGCCTTTGTTGTGACTGGGTCGTATTCTAGCCCAGGAGAGGCGTGGCAAGTTTGACAGACTTAATCTAATTGGGCAGGAAGACAGAGTTAACCTATTCGTAGATTCTCCATCATTATGCTGAGAAAAGGCGTTCAGGTAAGACAACGCCCCTTCTAATCAGCACCACAATATATGTATATGTGATAGGTGGGCTAAAACTGTTATACTATAGGAATAGAAGCTTCTCTATATCTTGTTTAAGGCCTTGAAGTTAAAGCAACTCTGTTTATTTCGTTGTAGTCTAGAATGTTAAGATTCACTGAATTAGTGAATATATGGAAATTTGATTGATTTCTGTAGAAATATGGTCCTGTTAGCTAGTTGTACAGAAAGAGATGCTATGTAAACTTAAAAATGAAATATAAACTTTTCTCTCACTCTCTAATGCTATCTTTGTTGAAATTTTAGTGGTTATTCTATATTCATTATCCTGCAGCTAAACGATTCCCGGTTTTCCAATTAGTTTAACCGATATTTTGAGAGACAAACAAGTTTCATTGTTCAGCATTTACCTACTAAAATAACAACAACAAAGTAATTTGTTGAAAGTTTAGTTATTTTATATGTATAATTTAATTATAATAAAGTCAGTTATGAGATTATTTTTGAAAACACAACCCATTTTTATTACCAGATGCTGTTACTGTGTTTCCCTGAAAATAAGACTCAACCGGAAAATAAGCCCTAGCATGATTTTTCAGGATGTTCGTAATATAAGCCCCACTCCAAAAATAAGCTCCAGTTAAGATTATCAGCTAGATGGACGCATTTAGTACCATATTTCCCCGAAAATAAGACCTAACCGGAAAAGCCCTGTGTCTTTTGGAGCAAAAATTAATATGAGACCTGGTCCTATTTTTGGGGAAACGTGGTAATGAATATCTTAAATGGTGATTAGATTGCATTCAATTTAAAGAATTTGAAAAAAAATTCCACTGTGCTTTTGTTTATTTAACAGATTTTAAGACACTTAATGCTTTCATTTAATGGAAATCAGTTCAGAAATGTTGCATATTAGATAGAAAAGACATTTCCCTTTGCATTTAAAAATGACATGAAATGAATCTCTTATATTTATCTTTTGAATAGTTTTAATAATAATTTTATTATTGTATATATAGAAAATTTGTATTGAAAATTTTCATATAAAATAAACCAAAATAAAAGGAAAAATAACAGAAAATTGCAAGAAAATAAAAAAGAAAACCAAAGAAGCACAGAGATGACATTTAGCCGTCCTGTAAACAGATAATTATATTATTCTTAGTAATTAATTAATTGATTGGTTGATCAAATTTGTATAGCCACCCATCTTATCAAAAGCAACTCTAGGCTGTGCACAAAAATCAGTGTTCTCTCCTAAATACTTTACAAGGACCTTCACCTTTTCATTTAGTCCTTTCTTAGTCTTCAGATAAATAAATCATTGATTCATTTTTTTTTATTCTTTTAACAAAAGTCAATATAAAGTTCTAGTTGTTCAAAAAAAGTTTTTGTTGTTTGTTCTCTGACTAGTCAGCTCAGTTTCTCCATTTCTGCAAATTCTGACATTTTCACAATTCATTCCTCCACTGGAAATGTCATTATTCTTTCATCATTGTGTATACAATAATCTTGTTGCAGTTACCATCTACAGTAGCAATGTACCATAAGTCACAATAAAAAAAAGTTCTGATTTTTGAGCAGTATTAGTCCTTAAAACTTTTTGCATCATTATATGAATTGGTAACCAGAATTTCCAGCACTGGTTTGAAATACTTTTAGAAATAGTTTTGATAATTTTGTTGGTATCATATACCAACACTACATCATTTTATATAATTTTTCTCTTAAATTATGACAATGTAAGTTAGTTTAGTGATAGCAATAGCACTTATATACTGCTCCATTGTGCTTTACAGCACTCTCTGAGCAGTTTACAGATTCAGCCAATATTGCCCCCAACAATCTGGGTCCTCACTTTATTAACCTCGGAAGGAAGGAAGGATGAGTCAATCATGAGCTGGTCAGGTTCAAATCCTGGCTATGGGAAGAGTTAATCTGTAATATTGCATTCTAATCACTGCGCCACCATGTTTATTTACATTTTCTCCCAAATACCCTCTCTATGAAGTATGTTGCTTTTTTTTAAATGTTATATTTGCCATTTCGGGTTCTTGTTGCTCAGTGGTATTCTGGCATCCAGCCTCCTTATATACAACTAAATTTAGATCCAGTTCATAATATCTTGTGAATATTGTGCATTTTCTTAATAGTATGATCTTTAAAAAAAGACATCTGGAAGACATTTATCTTCTAATGAGAGGTCTCTATGTGCAGAAGAAAAAGAATAGGATTGATTGCACACAATCTAAAATTTCAAAGCGCTTCTAGATTATTTGCATGCCTAATTACTCTGCATTCAAAATTAAGTGAACTAGCTTCTTGGAACTGAAAAATGAAATGCAATCTTTTATGGAGAAAATATCACATTTGCATGTTCGCCTTTCTATATTTTAGAATTAGATTTTTTCAGTGTACGTAATAATAGTGTCTAAAAATATATTTATGCTTCTGTCTTAAATGAGTGAATAGGACCCTGAAACATCAGCTTTGCTTTGATATGTAGCACGGTAAAGTGATGTTGAGAAAAACTTAGCAGTGATGTGCATTTTGGTGATAAAGGACTATGTCAGAATAGCAATTAATTATCTGCTTTGCTTGATATGGAAAACAGTGGTCTTATACTTCCTACTCCTTGGCAATTCAAATATTTCTTTTGGTGAAAGATATTAATACACATTTGAATTTGCTTAGATTAATATTTGATTTGTGTGACTGTAGTAGATAAAGCAAGTGTATTTGAGTTCTTGATATTTTGTCTAAAGTATGTGGGATAATAGTGAAAAGATCAGTTTACATATATATAGGAAACAATATAATATGTTAAGTTAATTGAAATACACATCAGTAATTGTGCAATTCCAAGGTTTCAATGTACTACCTTTGCATCTTTGGCTTTACATTAATAATTTGATATGAACTGGTACAAAGAAGAAACCAAAGAAACCAGGAGTACCATACTTTCCGGCGTATAAGACGACTTTTGCGAGCGGTAAAATCGGCACCAAAGTCAGGGGTCGTCTTATATGCCGAGTCGTCTTATACGCCGGAAATTACGGTAGTTTCTGGCATATAAGATGACTTTCTAGGCATGTGACTCGGCGCCGAAGACGGGGGTCGTCTTATACGCCGGGTTGCCTTATACGCCGGAATATACGGTAATAGTATTTCAGATACCTTTTATAGATGTATAAAAACTAGTGGGGGGGGGGAAGTAGAAGTCAGAATTTGATATAATTCCTGGAATTTTTAGGTTCTCTTTCTACTTAATAATAACAATTGCCTTAAAATGAATGAGATAATTTTTATAATAGACATATAAGGTAGACTAATGTTTTTCTATATGAGGGAATGCTTGTGTGATAAATTGGCACACTACAACATAAGTGTCTATTAAAAGAAAAAAAAATTAATTTTGTATATAGTAATAATGAACTGAGTTGTCGAGTATAGCAAGATTGGGCTATTGAAATGAGCAGGATGTATTAAGGATGTTTGGAAGATGCTGATGTTTACCAAAAAAAAAAAAAAGCCTAAGGTGACTGTCACTTTCTCCAGCATGATAGATAGAGAATCCACAAATGGGTTAACTCTGTCTTCCTGCCCAATTAGACTAAGTCTGTCAAATTTGCCACGCCTCTCCTGGGCCAGGAGACCTCCCAGTCATGACTTAGTCTGTGCCCAGAAAAGACGTGTCAGTTTGGCTCCCAGTTTCAAACTTAACTACAGAGCAGGTTGTATGGTTCTTTTTTCCCCATTTGTGAATTCTCCATTTCCCCTTGCAGCGCTGGGATCAGCACAGCGCCTAAACGCTTGCCGTTTTTTTCTCACTATGCTGCTGACTTGAAGAAGCCTGTAGAAAGTGAGAAAATCCTTAGTTCTCAAATTATTCCTTTGTCTTTCTTACTCAGTGAAATCTCTAGAAAGTTTTTATGTTGAATTTTCCCTGTTAGCCACAGAAAGTGCTTTTTTGGCCATTTGATGATAATTGTTAGGGCTTTCAGAAATACAAAATGTACTATGAAGTATGTAAGCACACATACTCATATATGGTTCTAATGTTGTCCAGTAATCTGACTTGCTGCAATTAAGTCTAACCAATTAAATATGATATTTCATTTTTCTAGGAAGAACAAAACAGAGGCAAGCCCAATTGGGAACATCTGAATGAAGATTTGCATGTATTAATCACTGTGGAAGATGCTCAAAATAGAGCAGAAATTAAATTGAAGAGGGCTGTGGAAGAAGTAAAAAAATTACTGGTACCTGCAGTAAGTAATATTATTGACATATTGATGTTTGATAGGTGTTCCTTAAGATCATATTATCTTCCATGTGGTATTACATAGTATCTAGTTAAAGGAAATATGTTCAAATATAATGTTTTTCATCTAAAGCATATGGTGCACTGTAATATAAAAATAAGATTGAATGTAGGCTATCAATTGTTTCGAAAGCAACTTTCTCTGATTTGAAAAGAGTAATATATAACTAATGCATACTAAGAAGACAAATTAATAGATTTATAGGAGAAACAGGAATATTTCAGATAATTTTTACTGTTGTCTGGAGAGGTATGAGGTTGTTCAATTAAATAAAGCATCCCATCTCTGTAGTAAGTTACTTTTAAAGTTATTAGTTAAACTTGTGGAATTTTCAGAAACAGTTTATAATAAGGAGGCCTATTAAGAGGAAAAACAATTTGTTAAGCAGGGCATGACTTATGTACACTCTGTAGTAGTAACTCTTACTAATTACTAGTCTTATCTATTCTATCCAGGTGGGTGGAAAGAGGGTTCATCACATCTCACTAGGTTATATAATACTATTGACTGTAGCCATAATTTTGAGATTTGATTTCATAATTCACTGAGGAAATATTTTTCTTGTTATAAAATTGTTCTGCTGAACATAAATATCAGAGAAATGTATCAAAGAAATCAGTGTATTGGTTGTAGTTTATTTATACTATATAAGAAAATAGTTTCTTATATCATTTATGTTCCATAAAAGACCATTTTGGAGATGGGGATATTCATTCCAAGTATGTGCATGAGCAGGATGTCTGGTTATAGGTATTTATAAAGAAAGAAACATGCAGAGGAAGAAAACTAATGTAAAAATATAAATACAAAAATACAAACACAAATTCTGTTTGCTTAATATAGAAAGAAAAGTTCCTTAGAGACCCATATAAAATTGGAATACGTTTTTCATACAAACTCAAGTTAGATGGCTTTTTTCTAAAATTGTATCTTAATAGTTGGATACTATAATAAAATGATCAGAGAGACATAAATATGTCTTTGTTATACTACTGAATTAAATTATGACAAATGCTAGAAGAATGGTACAACTTTACTTAAAATCAGTTCTGAATACCCTTGCTTGATAATAGTTACATGTTTCAGCCATTGAGAACAATTGAAACTGCATGTAAAGATGCAATTTTAGTAAAAATTGAAAGCCGGTTTGATTTAGTGGCCAAGGAGACTATGAGTTCCAATTCTTAGTCATGAAAACTAGCTAGATGACTTTGAGACAGCTTATACTATCTCAATCCTATCCATCTCATAGAAAGAGGAATATGAAGTATATACTCCATCTTATGTGGGTCAAAAATAAAAGCAAGATAAAAATCAAATATTAAAAGAAAGTTCATTCTTATCAAGGAAATAGTTTGTATAGAATAGTTTGTTTCCTTAAGACAAGGGTGTCAAACTGCCAGCCCACGGGCTGGATGCGTCAGGCAGAAGACACACCATGCCAAGTCCGGCAAGGGGAAAAAACTTGTGATACATCGCAACATGTCACATGACGAGGCGAGTTTGACACCCCTGGCTTAAGACAAAAACCTAAAAACTTCATTAATTTAAATTTTGCTCATGTAGCTAATCAGTCAATTCTTCAGCGATAAACTAATTTAGTTCCATTTTTGGTCATAAATGGAAAATGTTTGCTTTACACATAGTCATTTCTAACTGAACTGATCTCAGTTGTAGATATATTGAGTTTAAAGTTTAATTGTGCTGATTTTTTGTTCAAATCTAGACTGCGAACTGTATTAAACTTTTAATTAATGTATGTTATCCAAATTGATTTTAGTTGGTTTGGATAAGGATATAAAGATGAAGTATGCAAAAAGAAAGTATTTTTTAAGTTCTTATTTTAGATAACAAACCATAAAATTGGCCAATATTTTTAATACAGATCATTGTTTATTATTGATCTATATTTTGAGTTTTGCACTCTGTATCCTTTTATCACTGTTAATATTTTGATATATATCCAAAATATGCTTTACATATTTACAGTTATTTTTTTATTTTTATTTTTTTACCATTTTTACTTGGAGGGAAATAATGTTTGCATTTTTACAAGAAAACAGTTTTATTTGAGTGCCTCTATCTAAATGTTCTTGACTATATGGACAATCATAAAGAAAATGACTATCATGTTAGTAGTTTAAAATACTATCACACTAAAGGCTGTGATTCTTAAACTGCAGGCCATCAAGTTATATTTAGAAATCTATTTTTCACTCAGCTTAGTTTGTATTGATTCTACCAAATTTTCTTTGTAAATATTAAGGTATAAACTTTTTAGTTTGACTCAGGAAATATTACTCTTGATAGTCATACTGTAGGAGAAATTGATATTAGTATCTTTAATACACGCAGCTTGTTGAACAAGATGTAATATTTAGGTTACCACAACATTAAGTTGTAGACCACTGTTTGCCAGCTCCATTGAATTTTTCACTCAGATTCATAAATTGCACTGAGCTAAAATGAAAGTATGGCTTAGCATATTTGAGTCCAAGTAGTGATTATAGTAGCATGAAAAAAGTAAACTATTGTATCTAATTTCTATGCCAAGAGCCATTTGTGTAACAAATGGAATCTCAACAAAATGCTGAATGTATCTTTAGCTACTTGCAGAATTCTGTTCAGCATTCTGCTAGCCAACCAGTTTATTATAAATTATGTAAACAGTTGACTTCATTCTTCATGTCTCAGTTGACTTTTTTCTGTTTTATTTTTTTCAACATTGAACATTGCATGGTTCTGAAACTATTAAATACACGCAATCTGTTAAACTTCTTTGACATGGTATAGTATCTTTCTTTCGGATATAAAACATTTATGACTCTACTTATGATTCTACTTGCTTCGATGTTTGCCCAAGTATATTTGTTCTGCCCGTTTGTTTCTCTAGTTTTGTTTTGATTCCATATTTGATGTCACCTAATCATGTGAATTCGCAATTAGAGGAAATAATAACTATCAATACATTATAAGTATCAATACATAATGTTTTGGAAGTTCAAACAACGAATTGTTTATGCTGTGTTCAAACAGAAAGTAGTTTGTGCATTTTTAACAGATTGTTCTATGTTATTTTTTTCCATAGAAAATCATATTCTATAACCTTCTAAACAGATGCAGTCATTATCTTCAACTTTGCTTTTTATGCTGTGTAGCTAATTCAGAAAGAACAGGAAGTTTTATTGTGATGCAATCCTCTGTAGGTTTCAGTAATAGATTATGTACTTTACCTGATTGTGCATCTTTAAGATTGCCTCCATAGTAAAGTTTTAAAATAGGTAGATTTCAACAAACATTCAGGTAACCTTTGAGTAACTATATCAACCAATAATTAATTATAGTTAAAAATAATTTTGTATTATCATTACACTTAGAAATTTTCGAAACTACTTCTGTAAATTGGTAGTAGTTCTTTTACATTAGTTCCTGGCATACTTTAAAATTTAGGAGTTCAATATCTGTTATAGAGTGTGTCTCTAGTTGATCATACTTTTGGCCATGAAGAGAATTTAGACCTGATTTAAAGATACAATTTTCTTATTTTAATAGAATTCTTTCTGAATAACTTTCTCCAAGGGAATTCATTAATTTTACAACATTAATTCATTTAATCAGGTAAAGTAATAAAGGGATCAGAAGGCTAGATGATGATTGGTAAACAGAAATTGAAATGTCATAAAATGTGAGTGAGTGGTTCCAGATTTGGGAGTTGGTAAAATTGAATTTCTGAATGAAAATTCATTTCAAAGAACAGGATTATGGTTTGTTAGTACTCCTTGATTTAGTTTTATTTCTGGAGCCTGGGTAGCTGCAGGGATTGGCTTTCTTCAGTTCTGGTCATTTGTCTCTTATGCCCTTTTTAAAATAAGTATAACCTGGCCACAATGACCATGCTATAATGTCTTAGATTACTATGCACATTCTACATAAGGCTGCCTTTACCTAGAAATAATACTACTCAGCAGTCTGTATGGGGAGTATCAATCTACCTCAAAAGTATTGATGCTGATTTATAAAATTCAAAATTCTTAGGCCTGAATACTAGTCAGAATACCTCTCATAATGTGTACCGACCAGCATAATGAGATTGCAGTGGACCTTGATAGTAGTGTTGGGGAAATTAGTAAGAATCGTGATTTTTTTACTTTAGACATCTCTGCATTTTTGTATAGTTTTATTAAGAGGTTAGATGCACCTCTTTATGTAGATCAGTACTGCACAACATATAGTGCACAGGCCACATGTGACTTGTTAAACAGTCTTGTGTAGTTGGCCAGCTTTTTTTAAAAAAATGAATTAATTCACCCTACTGTCACCCTGAAAGATCCATTGCTGAGCACTTGTAACCCTTACCACCACTTCCAGTGCTGGTGTCACTTTTCTAGCTATTAAATAATTGATTGGTGCACCAGGTATTTCTTTATGAGCCCATAATGATTTTTAACTTACCAATATGGCCCTTTCCCCTCTACAAGTTTTGTAGATCTGATTTAGACCTTTGAAATCCCTTGACTTGTTTGTTCTTGGCTGCTTAGAAAGGGCCATAAACAGGGCGATATATTTGTTGTGCCAATATTTTTAAAAACATCTTTAGGATTGTAGATCTACTACATAGATTATATTTTGTGACAGTTTTCATTGTAACATAGCTGCTGCATTTTTAATATTCTTGTTCTTCTCAAAATAAAATCTTGAATCCATACATTCTGATACCTGCTTGTCAACTTTGGGGTTAAAGCCAGTGTGATTTGAAAGGAAGATTTGAGTTTGAGGCTCTGCTTATTTATGAAGTTTGTTGATTTGTCTTGTTCAGACCGCTGAGCTGTTGTGAGAATAAAATATTGCAACAAATTATTTGAGAAGTGGTATAGAGTGTTAACATTCAAGAAATAATTAGCTTCCTCTATGATAATTATACAGGGAGCTAAATTTGCACTTTGAGG